TAACAGCACTTCCTCTTTAAAAAAGGGGAGGAGACCGCAAGAAACTCTGAGTTTACTGAAGAAAACCTGCTCCTGACCAGGTTAGGTTCACGGAGTAAGTTACCATGGTAACTGACTCTGAGTATAAGTTACCTCTCTTTCAGAAATGGGCTTGACTTACTCTGCTGTCTCAGGTTTAACTTACCTCCCTTTCTGAAACGGAAAACCCAGAGTTTCCCTCATTTCAGGGTTAACATACTCAGAGTTTTCACTTAACCTCCTTTCTGAAACAGGCCCCTGATCTCCTTCTGCCTGCACCACCCCCCGACAAGTAAATAAATGCAATAAATGGCCTGTCACACTCTATGCCATTTAAGGGTATAGCCTAGAATATTTTTATGCCCTAACAGTTGTTAGCACCATTAAATACTTTAACATTCAGATTTTGTTTTGTTCTGTTAAATTTTATGATGAAATATCAACCACCCAGATGTTTAATAATCTGGTCAGCAGTGTTGGTCAAGTTACTTGGAAATAGTAATTAGTTACTGATTACTGATTACTTCTCCAAGAAAGTAATCCAATTACTTTACTGATTACTTATTTTCAAAAGTAATTAGTTACTTTACTAGTTGCTTTACTAAGTTACTTTTTAAAAACATAATGCACGACCTGAATACGCTTAAGCATAGACCTTTCAGCCTAATTCTATTCTTTCTGCATATTCCATCATCTAAAATGTAATCAAATTAAACATTCTCTTTTTTTAAACTTGTTTTATTTGTTTCAATATTTTAACTTTATGCACATTACATCAAGCAAAAATTAAATTAAATGCAACAGTCTCAGACTAGAAGAAAATTGTTGAACATTTAACATTTAGATATTTTCTGCACATTCCACCATTTTAATGAAAAAGACAGCCCTTCTTCTGTTAATATAAATTTCTACATATTCCAGCATATAAAATAAATATATTTTGTAAAATCCTTCATTTGGAAGGATTTTTTTTTTCGGAGTTAAACAGTCAGCATGTAGCCGCAGCGGTCATGTCAGATGGGGGAGTTTCACATTCCTGTACCGGCTTGCTGCTTTACGTGTGAGACTGTTTCGTGACATGCTTGCTCAGATTTGAGGTAGAATTTTGACATTCTCCAACGGGGGTCCTGTTTCCAGATCAGGATGCTCTCTGCATAGTATGCAAGTCTCTCTCTTGCTCTCCTCGTCTTGCGCGCGATACGAAGTTTGGACTTTGGAACACAGTCTCGCATGTGCGCTCGCTCTAGATTCCGGGAGATTTTAACTAATTTGCGGTATAACTAGTCAATCACAAATGTGGCTCAACGGTTAGATTTATAGATAAACTCATCTTTCAGGCATTTGACCGACGGGATTGACGCTTCAGCGCGAGAAATCGGGGGTGTGCCGTGTGAGCGTGTCTGGGAGTTGGCTGGCAGCTCGACTGCTCTCTCCCGCGCTCTAGTCGTCTCTCACTGATGTCGCGGCGCTCATACATCATTTTTATTCACGCACGACTCATGTCACGAGACAGTCTGACTAAACAAAATCACGGTTAACTAACGCAGTAACGCAGGCTGTTTACGGGGAAGTAACGGTAATCTAATTACTGTTTTTTCAATTGTAATCCCTTACTTTACTCGTTACTAGAAAAAAGTAATTGGATTACAGTAACGCGTTACTTCTAACTCCTCATTTATGATAATGAAAGTGAATGTTACTCAGGACCTTTCATTCATGCCCATACAAAGATTTCTGATGTGTCTTTATGAAACCTCGTTAAAAAAAGTATTAGCTGAATAACTTTGAAGTGCATTTTTGCATTCACATTTTTGTCACAAGCACACACTCTTCTTCTTTGGTCTCAGAGAACAGCCAGATAAATATGATCAAGTCTAGTGCATTTCGTTCGTATAACAGACGGGTAGTGTTAAGACCACAGGATACAACACATTATTTACCATAGTATACATTTTTTTTTTAAAAACAGACAGGTTACCACGTTTCACCAACACAATCATACATATCATGAACTGCTTTTGTTTAAATGTACAATACATGTTGTTAGTACAGACCAAAAGGCTGGTATAAAAAGAGTTTTGCGTAAAATGCCTAGTTTGTAAACTTGTTTTTAGGAATCAAATGTATGATGACTTCTTTATTTGAGCAGCAGTACAACACCTGATTTTCACTGCACTTCCTGTATGTGTGTGTGTTCTACGAACAAAGCATTCCAGTCTGCTTGAACCATGGCACTCTTCTGGCTGACACACAAACTAATGTAAATAACATGGTCTGGTCTCGTCGTGGCTGGATGTGAGGTCGGCCACATCACTGAGGCAGGGATTAGCTCACTGTGATTTATGTAACAAATGTCTGTGTCACCAGTGTCAGCGCTTGTCATCTGACTCGAAATATAATTAAGCACATTTATCACCATAAACCACAACTCAGATCAAATTGTCAAGAATTAAAGTGATTTACACCCATTGCTCTTCTCAAATGGTCTACCATTTTGTATAAAGCTCACATCTAGATGAAGAGCAATCAAATTATGCTACACTATTGTTCTACTATTGTAGAACTACAGATTATTTAATGGTTTTAAATAGGTTTAAATATATAGCAATATTTTTTAATCATGTTTTGAACGAGCAAAGTTCAAAAGCGCATACATTAAGGTATCCTAGTTAGTTTATTGCAGCATCATGAAAACATTTCTATAGAACCTGGAATGTTCCATTTAACATTCAACAGGCATACATAAATACAAAAGAACAAACATGTATATGAAATAAACAGTGCTTTTAAGGTAGGTCTAACAATAGTTTTCAGGTACATAAAGAAAGTGATCAAATGTAAAAATATTTTGTTGACTGTATAAATTAAATATAAATTAATCCTTATCCTTAAATCCTTAATCCTTATTAAAGTTACAAAAGTTATTGGTTCGGATTAAGAGTAGTGAGTGATTATTTGGACTTTTGTTGGTTAATTAACTGATTAACTTTAAAACATACAGCAGCGCAGCAGGTATATTAGGCTGCAGTCAATTTACGAGCTGCACAGATCCAATTTACTGACTCACAAGCATTTTATTTCTCAACTGTTTACGCTCATTTAAGATGTAACTAACTATGTTTACATGGATACACGGATTTGTGTGCTTTGGATGTGTGATCACACTAAAATGATCACGCAGTGAATAAAATTGATGATCTTTTGTGTCTTCTTACGCTTGAATATTTAAATTTGAAAGGTTTAAAAACATGATGAAAGGATAAACTTTCATGACAATGCGGGACTGGCCCGATAGAAACCATAGTTCTGTCGATTGTCCTGAGCGTCAGTCATGCTGGCCACGGCCAATCCTAATCTGCCCTGGCTTTTCTATTTTAATATATTTAAAAATTTAATTTATTCCTGTGATTGCAAAGCTGAATTTCCAGCATTTTTTTTTTCTGTCACTTTTGATCACTTGTACAGTGGTGTGAATAAGTGTTGGCACCCATGCTAAAGTTGCCTAAAAAGAGGAATAAAAAAAATCATCTTTTGGATATTGATCTTAATGCCTTGGCATGATTGGCATGGGGTACTTTCCATAAGATCATCTTTCAATGCAAATCAAACCAGCTATTAGGCTAACTGAGGTAAAACCATGTCAATCTCTAGGTGTGGTGGAAGGTGTGTGATGATGTGGGGATATTTTAATTCCAAAGGCCAAGGGAACTTTATCAGGATGCATATTATCCTGGATCCATGAAATAACTGGCTTTTAAAAATAAAAATCTGCCTGACTCTATGGGAATTTAACATAGGGGTGCCCTGACTTATGCACCCTGTATTTTAAGGAAAAACATTTATTTATTTATGATACATTATTCATTCACAAAGAAAATTGGTGTCCTTAAAGGTTGGAGTTTTCCTCATTTTTCTAATTAAGGCATTAAGATCAATATCCAAAAGATGATTTTTTATTCCTCTTTTTAGGCAACTTTAGCATGGGGGCAAACACTTATTCACACCACTGTATGTGTCATTGCTAAATAAAGGTATTAAAATAATTGTACTGTCCTCAATTTTTTTGAATGGTAGTGTAGACAGTAGGAAAAATGCACTTCAGCTTCTCTAGTTCAATTTCAGAAAAAAATTGAAAATTTAAATCACACCACTGCAAATCTGACGGTACTTGTGGTGGTGCTACAATACAGCGATGGTATCAGATGATAAAACAATGGTATTTTGATATACCATTGTAGTGAATTATACATATGCTCATATACCATGGTTTTCCACATAAACATGCCTAAAAAAAAAGAATCATGATAGTGTTTTAATGGTAACAAGCCGGAATCTGCAACCATAGAATTAAGGAGATAGCAACACAGATCTCTGCAGAAGTTCACTTCCTTTAATAATTTCATTAATTATTTAGGCTTGTTCATTATAGGCTGGTACACTTAGCTTTGTTTAATGCATTTTCTTATGCTCAAATCGACCCCTCCCCCATTCATAAAAATACATTTTTAAAAATCAATGGAGAACAGAGTAGATATTAACTATAAATAAAACTATTAAAGTCATATTCAACAGCTGAAATAAAAGCTGAAATAAAATAAAATATAAATATTAGATCAAACTTTTTTTAAAAAGTGGCTTTTTGCAAATAATTAGAAAACTTAAACTGAAATAAAAATAAATTAAAGCTAAATAGAAATAGTGAAAAATAAACTAATAGAAATGACAACACTAAACCTAAACAAAATAAAATTACTACAAATTAAACTTAGATTTGGAAAATAAATTTCTAAAAGTTAGAAATATAATAAGAAAAGCCAATTCAAAAAAAAAAATCAATAAATAATATAATAGCATATATTAATAATACTAACACTGGTGCAGAAATAACTGAAGATTCTGTCTGGTCCTAGTGACAGGTAATATGATGAGACATATCATTGCTCGTAGAGGGTCCGACTCCGGACTAAAAGAAGCTGACTTACTGTCTTTTTGAGCCGCAGGACTGGTTGATGGGCCAGCAGTTGTTCGTCCCACTGGACTGGAGTGTTTAGGACCCCTGCCAGGGATCTTCAAGCCACTGGACTTTAGCATGTTCATTATGTCCACTGGAGAAACTTCAAGTTTCGCAGCTTATTTAGGGTTATCTTTATATAATCGAGGCACTAAATGTGAGGATGGCGGATATCCTTCTCCATTCTACCTGTGGGACTGAAAACAACCACAATGAGCATTCAACACAAACAGTGAGGCAAAGGCCAATACACAGATCATATTGACTGGGTGCAATTTGCTAAATGAATGGCCTTGCATGGCCCATGTCAGTTCATTAACAAGGATACTAGCTGAGCCACAGCATCAATAATGTGATGCTTCAGGGGCAAAGGAGGACACACAAAAAACACATTTTATTGTTTGAATGAAGCTGTAACAAAGTAATCGACACTGACAGACTGTAAACGCGTTGTTTTCGCTAATGCAATATTTTCTAAGTGATAAATCAGTAATCTAGCAAGGTCACTCTAGCATATCTGTGAAATGAAACCCATTATCCAGTGAGGTCGGCAGTTTCGACATGCTGTCACCACAGCTGCCTTCCAAACCCCAAATTAACTCCGTTAAAAACTCAGTACGTGAATTCCACTTAAAAACAGAGATTAATAGAGCATAAACCGAATAATGTGTCCTAAAAGAGACGGAAGTTTATTGTACTAGCTCATTTCTGCGCCGTAGACTCTGCTGCTCTATTGTTTTGGCTCTTCACTGCGGCGCGCTCGCGACCCTCTTCACACGCCCCTGTCAAGCAACACAAACGAGACCCGTTCTCACAAACAGCACTATTACCTTATGAAGTCCAAATCCTGTGAATTAAAAAGAAGTCGGTGCCGGCGAACTTCAGATGAATCTGTGCAGGGAATCAGGGATGGCTCAGTCGGCTTCCCGGCATGAGATTTGTCAGCGTCTGCCACTCCCTTCGCTCCGCTCTCGCTCTCTCTCTCTCTCTCTCTCTCCCTCTCCCTCCCTCTCTCTCTCTCTCCCACACGGATGCGAAAAATATGGATGCTGAGCTAAAGCTGCCAGTGGGAGTGAGACAGGATGCGAGGTTCACAGGCACCGGCACATTTTAGGAAAGCTCTTTTATTTACACACACGAAAGTGTGTCAGTGGTGAGCAAATGGTTCTTGAATAGAATAGATGAGGCTCGTTAAGCAGGAGGGGTAAAAGCCTTCAGACAGGGGGCCGTTTAGAAATGTCCGGCTCGCGAATCGTTCATTTGAGTCGAATCTTTTCAATGAATTGATTGAACAAAACCGGTATTTTCGGACATTGTTTCCGAAATTCCGAATTCGACTGATGAGCGAAATAAATTATCGTAGCGATCACACTGGAAATGTTTACGACTTGGCTGTATGACAGTTTTTGTTGTTGTTGTTGTCTTTTTCCAACACAAATGCGACCCAGAGCTGGTTTAAATAAATAAATAAAATAAAACGTAATTACACCGAGCAAAAATCAAGACATGTCAATTATTTAGAGTTGTTTAATGTAAATTCTATTTGTTTCTAAGTCGTCACCATGTTTTTATTGAATCTTGGCTGCAACAAATTCCGGAAATTCAAAAAAAAAAAAAAAAAAAAAAATTGTCCAGCTGCTGTGGAATTTATGCATTTCCGGTCATGAATTAAATGAATGAATAAAGACCAAAACTGCCCACAACACAGCCACATTATATTGAGATTAAAAAATGAAAAAAAAAAAAATTATTGCAAGGAAACAAAAAGGAAGAAAGAAAAAAAAAACATCACCTCAATCAGTCAGAAAAATATCATAGATAATATAAATATAAAAAAATAGAAATCTCAGCATGACAGACATCAAATAAAAAAAATGTTATTTATTTATTTGTTTGTTTCTTGCAACCCTGAAACCCTGAAAAGTCTAAATAGCCTGAATTTAAATATCTACAGTTAAATTGTTTGTGTGATACATAAAAATAGTAAAATTAAAACTAAACAGATTTTTACTTTTGAAAGAGGTTAAGATTTTCAAGAGTCCCATTGATATTCCTCAATTGTAAAAAAAAGAGGATATATTTACATGCATTTAGCAGACACTTTTATTCAAAGCAGCTTATAAAAGAGGAACAAAAGCAATTTGCCAAAGGAAAAAAAGGTGAGAGATGTTTTAATTGTCATGCCGTTTTTATTGATTGCTGCATGAACATTTCCACAAACATGTTCTTGATCACGAGGAAAATAAAACAGGCTTAAATGGCTTTAAAATATAGTTGAGGAAAAGGTCAGAAAAGTAGAACAAGATGAAGATCCAGCAATATTACTGTATAACCAACTCCATTTTAGCTGGTCAGTTATTAAATTCCTCATAATCAAAAATTCTTGCATGCTATTCCTATTTCAAAATAAGCATCAACACAGAGCTACTACCTAAATAAATTCCTCCAACCAGACTCTCCTCTTTAGCATGTGAAATAATAGTGCCTGTCTTTAATAGTACAGAAGGGAGTGGAACACAATAATGTGTTTCCATCAAAAGAAAACACAGGGAGAGGAAAACAGACTGAGAGAGGTGGAGAAAGAAAGAGAAAATAACAGAGCGCTGGTCATGTTTCAAACGACTACTGAAGGGAAACAGGAAGCACATTCTTTCTTGTAAACATAAGGCACCACTTTAACTGACTCAAGCTGTAAATGCAAGTCTCAAACTAATAAGAAATGAATAATATGAACGCACAATTGAATTAATAAATACAAATAATAATAATAATGTGATCCAAATATACTCAATTCATAATTGACAGTATACTGTCCCTGGACTTGATTGCATGCTCAGTGATTATATTAAATCATTTTTCATATACCGTATAAAAACAATTCCAGTTGTATTTCCTAAACAAGGACTATCCAAAGCCATAAACACTTACTTCCATGGAACACAAAAGAGGTATTTTGCAGAATGTGCAAGATTATTTATTAACACAGTTATATTTCTTAATGCAACTGGCAAAAAAGACAAGAGATCATACAGGTTTCAAGCAATATGAAGGTGACGGTGCATGAAAACAGAGAATTGTGAATTTATTTACTACATCCTTGATAGTTAAATCAAACAATTAAAGTTTGAACTTACATTATGCATTGTGTTGGCGAGCCTAGATTTGTGTAGTGCACATAATTAAATACGACTGGAGAAGATTTTTTTAAAACACCATCCAATAGAAAAGTTCATGATAATCTTCTACAACTAGTTTCAACAGTCTTGTATTTACAAGCACTGCTATACTGTGTCCGAATTCAGCATTCGAATGAGTAACACTGTATTGCCACCTAGTGGGGAATTACCACTACTATCGATATTTTTTCATAATAAAAAAAACACTGTGAACATTTTCCACATTTTTGTGTTACACTGTTTTTGTGGAATGCACAATGCATACTTGTTTAGGGTACATATCATAAAAAGACAGAACATCAATACATCCAAAACATGACACATGATACGAACAAGGTATTGAGACAGCAGGAATGGCAGTGTTGTATGGCATTTAGATCCAAGATCTATATATATTTTAAAAAAAATATCAAAATCAAATCATCTTTAAAATCTAAAAACATTAAGAAAACTGATTTAAATGTAAAAAATTGTACAAAGGAAGAGCTGACATGCATACGATTAAATTCAAATCAAAGTTAAAACCAATATACTATGTCTGAATGCATGTTAAAACCTGCAGAAATGCCAACAAGACACTGTTGTTAAGTTGCCAACCTACTGGAATCATTGCAGTAAGTTAAAACAATGCTGAAATTCAGCTTACCTTAATACCAAATACACACCACGACTATCCTTAATAAAGGGATTGTGATCACAGCCCTCTAAATATCCATTTACGCACCAAAAATCGGTTCAAACGTTCAAGAACACGTGAACTAATCCAACTTACAGCTCTTTTTTAGATTTCTTGTTCTGAATCCTGCGTTGATGTGCTCAGTGACTGAATGACACTGTGAATTATGAATGCAAAGCAAAAAGTCCTTTTGTTTACGTTTGTAATTCCAAGAAAAAGTTTTTATTCTTCAGTCTTTCCTCTTCCTCCACCGCCGCATGTGCATCATGTAGGTCTTGGAGAATACTGAAGAGATTTGATAGTCCATCTGCTTTCTTCTGGTCTGTAAGATCAATGATAACAAATGGTTCATTAAGTTGTTTATATATCATTATAGTATTTTCCTCAAATTTCATTTTAGGTGTTAAAGTCCCCCTGTAGTCAATAATTGTATCGTTTAAAACTCATCTTTGATCACCAAAATGACATATTTAAAGGTTTTTTATTTCTTTGTGCCTTAAAGGGATACTCCACTTTTTTTGGAAATAGGCTAATTTTACCACTCCCCCAGAGTTAAACAGTTGAGTTTTACCGTTTTCGAATGTATTCAGACAATTTTTTGATATTTAGAAGAATATCAGTAAACAGACAGTTTCTGGTCTCATTGACTTCCATAGTATATATTTTTTTCCTATTATGGAAGTCAATGAGACCAGAAACTGTCTGGTTACTGATATTCTTCTAAATATCAGAAAATCGGCTGAATGGTTTTGAAAACGGTAAAACTCAACTGTTTAACTCTCGGGGAGTGGTAAAATGAGCCTATTTCCAAAAAAAAGTGGAGTATCCCTTTAAAATAGCTTGATTTTACCTCCACAGATGCCTCAGCCCTTAGCCCCGCCTCCACTCACTCACTCACACCAGCTCAGAGATCGATTTTTATTTCAGTTTTAATCATTTTAGCAACGGAATTTGTTACTAATAATAGCCAAGTAATAATTCACATTTCACAAAAACAATTAACATCGAGACACAAATATTACCAAAATTACTTTAAGAGGACTTTAAGAGAGGACTTTAAACACCTTCAAGAGGTGTTTTTTGACATTGGATGCATGTAAACCCATTCTAAGAGAACTCCAAAACAAAATTAGAAAACTTTAAAATAGCATAATAGGGGCACTTTAAGTTTTTCATCTAATATTTAAACTTAAAGGGTCCTGAAACCACAAACCAAGATTTTAACAGAGGTATGTGTGTTGAACACCATTGAAGACAATGTTAGCATCTGTTAGATTTAATAGCAGGGTTTTTTTCGTAACCAGACAGTAACCAGAATATCAGTAACCAGACAGTTTCTGGTCTCATTGACTTCCATAGTAGGAAAAAAATATATATTATGGAAGTCAATGAGACCAGAAACTGTCTGGTTACTGATATTCTTCTAAATATAAAAAAAAAATTGGCTGAATACATTAGAAAACGGTAAAACCCAACTGTAAAATGAGCCTATTCCCAAAAAAGTGGAGTATCCCTTTAAGTGACCGTCGATATGCATGGGACATTGCCGAAGGCAGTGATGGCCAGACCACACCCACTCCTCTCCCTTCTTCTCACAGCTATCCACGCCCATTTAAGTTGCATTTTTCAAAAAGATTGTGAGCTAGATTTGAGCTGAAAGAGGGGGGTTTCATGACCCTTTAATGATAACATCGCTGAAAGAAATGCAGAAAGGGGTAAAAGCCACTGTGTCCGGCAGGCTTGATAACTTACCTCTTACTGAATCTGCTTCCTGAACTCCCTGCTGCTCTCTCAACTTAAAATACTTATCTCTGCAAAAAAGTACAAAACTTTTAACTTACATAATTTATAGATGGCCTGGATCTATAAGTAATTTGCATGGATTTTACACAAATTTAGAAGTTATTACCAAGCTGACGTGCATGTTGAACTGCTATGTATAAATGACTTCTATTTGAATTATTATTGCATTGAATTATGTACTTGAATCAATCATTTCAGCTGTCATAACAAAATACGCAGGCCCGTTATGTTAATGCAACATTACCGCATGGCATCCTGGACACTACTGAGATGTTGATAGATGAGCTGAGCCTCCAAGTCTGGGTCCAGAGGATCATACCACTCCTGCAGAGTTACTCCATGTCTGGTTTTATCACAGCCTTGGTCTATGAACAAAGAGTTCATCAGTGCAGTTTAGTAAGATTTAAAAAAAATATATATATTAATTTTATTTTGAAAGGATGCATTAAATTGATCAAAAGTGACTGTAAAGACGTTTAAGATAAGTCTATAATTGTCATGTAGCAGTGGAAATTAATAAAGAGAGCAGCGAAAGGGATTCTTAAAACAGCAGTAATCAACAGGAGAAACAAAAGGACAGCATAACAGCTTGCATTAACACAAGAACATTAACCGACAAACCAAAGATAGGTCCTTCTCAAACAGAAGGCTGCGTCCACTTAGAGGACCAGACCTTTTGAGGCTTCTTAGGCTGGAACCCTCCTCAGCAATGAACACTCGAATGAGACAGTCTACTCTAGTAAGTGCGTATGGCGACGTCAGACATCTTCCTTCCCCCATGGTCACGGCATACAAATACTATCTTTATATTAAGAATCTTTATATTAACGAAAACCATCTGTGTTCTCCCAGTAGCTTACATTTAGAGCCAGACCGATATATAGGCTGGCCGATATTATCGCCCCATATTAGTCATTTTCCAATCTATCGGTATCGGCAGTTATAATGGCCGATAAATGAATATTTCAAAAATAAAATAAAAATGGACGAAATGCGCTTCTACCATGTCATGAGTGTATGTCAGAGGGCACTCTACACCATCCCTCGTTTATAACGCGCCACACATCCTGCAAACTGCTGATAGTTTTTTGTTGCGCGCTTCTGAAAATAAATAAATAAAAATATCGGCCGATATATCGGAATATCGAATTTTAAAACCAACAAATATTTGTATCGGTATCGGCCTTCAAAATCCTTTATCGGTCGGGCTCTACTTACATTATATACAGTTTAGCGTTAAGTGATTAATTGACACCCAAAAAAAACAATGGCATGTATGCCTTCATCTCCACAAACATTATTTTTGTCTTACATTACATAATGAGCTCAGTGCCGACTCGTTTTTTCCGACGGTTCTTCTTTTCGGGAATTGGAATGTGTGCAAAGGATTGTGGGTGATTGAAGTACGAGAAGGCTCCGCTCGATGCATCCTTCAGAATGAGCTGAATGAAGGACACAAAACGAAGGCTGATTTCCAAGGATCTACAGCCTAAAGGCTGATTTATACCTCTGCCTCGGACCTACGCCGGAGCCTCTGCACTGTAGACTACACGTTTGTTTTCATTTATACTTCTGCATCACTGTCCGCATTGACGTGCAATTACACATGCAGAGGGAGCGTGTGAAACCCGGGGAGCGGTTCAAGCTAACCACAGCGCTTGCGATACGCGTAAAAATGACGCGTTGTTACATTTTTGGAGAGGTGCACGTCAGGGTACGCACGCTACACACAGACTACGACGTAGCTACGCCGTGAGTTTGACGCAGAAGTATAAATTGGGATTTACTAAGGGTTTACACGACAACAATATACTTAAAACGGAGAAGTTTTTCCTTTGAGTTTTCCATGTACAGGCGACACCATTGTCAAAGCGATCCTCATTCACACACGCTAAAATGACTAAAAACGGTGTATTCTGCTGGCAGGCCATTAGATGGCGACGAAACACTATAGACTGAACATGTAATACGCACTTCCATGACTTGTGATTTTTATTGTTTAAATGGAGACCGTTTGCGTTTTGCGTTTTTCAGCCACCCTAAGGCCGTGTGTCCACCAAAGCGTTTTTAGCCAGCTGAAAACGCTAGACGCTCTGCTGAAGACGCCGTGCTTTGGGCGCTTGAGAGCGTTTTGGCAGCGCAGCGTTTCTTCCGTTGAGACGTTTCGTTGCTATGATACATAATATCCGAAGCAGTTTGAATGTTGACAGTTGGTCGGTGTGGTATTAGTCCCGCCCCTCCTCCACTGTGATTGGACGGCTGGGTAAAAAGTGACAGTGATGAGCGCTGCGTTTTATCCAAAGTTGAACATTTTTCAACTCCTAGGGACCAGTAAAAACGCTGGGTGCTCGGCGCTTCAGCGTGAAGAAAGTGCTCAGCGCCTCGGTACGCCCATGGCCTTTAAAAAAACGGGGCGCTCCCATTGAAAACAATTGAAAACATATGCCAGGCGCGTGGAAAAACGCTTTGGTGGACACACGGCCTAAGGCTTTGTTTACACGGAAACGATTTTGAAGAGAAAACGCAAAATTGGTGTCGCGTTATCACTTTTTATTCTGCGTTTAGACAAGCCTTTTGGGTGGGAAATCCGTGTGCATATGGTGACGCAAAAGTGTTTGAAATTTAATGTAGTATGCACTCCAGGCAGCTAGGTGGCGATGTGGAGCACTGCCACACAAAAACACCAAGTCCGTGTGCCTGCGTACAACCTTCACTGTCAAGCAGACTTTTGCGTTTTTACCCTTGACACAGGAACGCGACGGTGGACCATTTTTGATTTCCACTCTGGAGGGTGGTTTCACTTTTTCGCGTTTTTAAGCCCCAAAAACGCCGTCGCAGTGTTAACGAAAGGCACATCCGTTAAAATATTTTTACGTTTTCACCCACGAGAGTTCTCGTGTAAACAGGGACTTAATGCTGTGTAAATGAACGTCCAAAACGCATACAAATTTTTATGTTTTTAGTTGAAAACGATGTTGTGTAAAGAGCCCCTGAGATGCAGTCTTCTGTTTGAGAAGCACCCAATATTACAAGAAACAGGTGGCAAACATAATCAGTAGCTATGGAAACTAACAAGACAATCAGAAACCAAGGGAACTAATGAGACCGAAAATTAAACCCAAGAAACTAGAGGTGTGTTCAACTTGAAGCAGCGCTGCACGGACTAATCTTTGTATGACATCAAAGTAGCACACCTTTCTATTATATCTTTCTAATCATCTTTCTATCTATAAGATTTCTATTTCAAATAAATCTTTTTCTTTTAAACTTTTTATTCATCAGAGAATCCTAAATGTCATGGTTTTTACAAAAACATTAAGCAGGACAACCATTTTCAACATTAAAATTAAAAATAGGAAATGTCTATTGACCGGCAAATCAGCATATTAGAATGATTTCTGAAGGATCACGTGACACTGAAGACTGGAAGACTGAACTTTTCCATCACAGGAACAAATAGCATTTCAAAGTATATTCAAATAGAAAACAGTTATTTTAAATTGTAATATTATTTCACAATATTACTGTTTTCCTACCGTATTTTTAATCAAATAAATGCAGCCTTACTGCATAAGAGACTTTTCAAAAACATCTTACCAACCCCAAACAGATCACAAGCCTGGCTTGCTTGTACATCATCTAATATTTGCAGTACCTGATTTCTCCTTCTGATGGCAGCAGCTCCATCTGTCTGCTTTATAGATGCCAGGATGATAGCAGCTCATAGTGTTTGTGTTGTGACTGCAGGCTTTCCTCAAAGCTGACAGCCAGTGATTCAACTCATTTACACTCTACAGTCACACAGAGAGACAAAGAGTACAAAACAATGAAACAATGAGACATCAAATAACCCATTTTTTTAGGGCCCATTCTTACAATCTCAACAACAACAAACATATCTGAGTCAGTGTCTATGAATAGCCACATTCACGTTTTATTTGTGAATCCAGAGCAATACTAACTTTGCAGTCGAGGTACAGGGTTTCCTGCTGGCCCGAGTCTTCGCTTGAGATAATCTGCATGACGTTGGCATTACCGAAGCACTTCTCCTCCACCTTCTCTACCGCCCGGATCTTTGGCAGCGAAATAGATGAGCTCTTCTAAAGATGGAGAAACCAGAGCCTGCTTAACATAACTTATACAGTATATATGGGTGTTTCTATAGACTTTTTTTTGCCACAGCTTATATTTCATCTAAATCATGCTCTTCACTGACGTTAGCTATGTTTCCGTCCTTCTATTTTGGTATTTTGGGATATCGCATAAATAATGCTAGAATGAAACGCTAAGATGCGCATTCATTGGATGAGCATTAAAAAAATTTTATCTGATAAGAAGACACAAATCACAAGGAAACACAAAAACCTCATGTGACTTTGCCTAAACAGTGGATGTGATCACATGGGACAGCATCTGACACACAAGGCTACGGATCAACCCTGAAGGACTTGAGACCCTGGGGTTGAATTCATGTCCAGACTTTAAAACCTGAAGACTGTGTGTGTGTGGAGGACAGCACAAACATCTTGCAAGGATGCACCCCTAGCAAGAGCTTTGGAGGACACAACACTTCTAGTTGAGTGGCCCCTAACTCTTAGAGGTGAAGCCATTCCGCGTGCCTCATAGGAAAGGGAGACTGTGTCAGTGATCCAATGAAAGATTCCATGTTTTGTCACATCATTCCATTTATTTTGGCCACCAAAGCAGACAGAAGCTGAGAGGACTTACACCACTGGCCTGAGCCGCGGATGTACTGTGGATCCTCAAAGCATTGGACCACACATAGCAAATGCAGCCTTTCTTGCTCTTGTGTCGGGCGGAGGGAAGAAAGCCTGCAAGACTGGTAGCTGACTGCCATAGGAGAAACTTTTGGAACATAGTCTGCTCTGGGGTGCAGTATAGCTCTGAAACCTGGAGCAAAGTCTAAGCAGGAAGTGGCTACTGTATACAACAAGTTAAAAGCGCTTTATAAATGAAGGTGACTTGACTTGAGAAGTCATGGTGCGTTCACACCAGACGCGAAAAGCGTCAATGCAAAGACACGCTACAAGCATAAAAAATTCCTACGGCGCGGTAGAAGCAAATACGCGCGTCAAGTTCGCACGAATGGCGCGAATTGAGCGTCTGGTGCGTTAAGCGCAAATTATTTAGTTAGTGCTATTTTTGCATTCACATGTTTGATGCGAATTCGCATCTGCCTCCCGAGTTGAATAATCTGAACTTTGGCGTCAAATTCGCGCCATGTTAAACAATCAGGAGGCTAGCTGCTTGCTCACGTGGTGAAGTATCTGGATGCTTCAATAAATTATTTTGTAATACAGTATGACTAAATGCCTGGTGTGGTTCTAATGTGCAACAAAGCAACTATTTTATCACTCAAAACTTTATTTCAATAATCAAGACATGTTCATTTTCTATTGAATGTTATTTATTCCATATCTAGATTATATGAAATATTATTATGATGTAAAGACAATCAATATATGTGCATAAGTTTGTGTCTGGACATGAGAGAGAAAAAAAATCACAGGACAGGTTAATAACTTTTGGAGTAGAGGCCTGCATTTCAGACTTATTTACAGTCCTCGGGCCGGGCTTCGGGCAAATTTTAACGTAATAGTTCACACGCGGGCCGGGCCTCGGGCCTGTTTTAGGCTTATCTTTTTTATAGCCTATTTTAGATATTACTTAAAATAAAATATGAGAAGATGACTATTGAAAAGCAAACATAGAAAGACGTTTTATAACCTATCGTACTGATAGGTTCATTCATGCTGATCATTCTGATGAGCTGTCGGACACGTGCCGGGCTAGGGCCTGGACGTCTCGGGCCAGGGCCGGGCTAGGGCCTAGATTTGAGGCCCGTGCAGGGCTCTATTTTGGAGGCTGGCTCTATTTATCATCAAAACAAAAATAAATGGATGAGGGCAAGGGTGATCCTCGCTCTGATGTATTACAACAGGTCATCAAACTGGGCGCGGGACAGGCGGAAGTACCGCTGACAGCGGCCGTCATGTAGGCGCAGCTCCTGGAGCGAGCAAATGGTGAAACTCGCCAAACGGTTTGCCTCCAAAGGGTCCAGTGGACACAAATACGGCAACGATGATCCCCACGCCACCGTTCTGCTCTCCAGAGCAAATACAGAGCGGTGACTCTCTCGATGAATGCTCGGTCGACATAAAAAATGGCCGCCAACGGATTTCCATTCTGACGCGCGCGTAAATTCCGCTTCAAACTTTTGTTTTTACGCGCGTCAGTTTCACTCTTGACGCACAAATTAACACAAAGTGGTCAAGCATCAAACTAGATGTGGTAGACGCGAATTTGACACGCTATTCGCGTCCGGTGTGAACGCACAGTCATACTCTCTTAATACAAATATTAGTAAGTGAGTAACTTTAAGAATCAGCATTTTTTCAGCTCAAACGTTCTTCTACTATTGCTTCCAAGACCAATGCTAAGTCCCAAGAAACTTGTGACCAACAGATAGACCTCAGCCATCTGGCATCTCGCAAGAGCCGAGATACCAGAGGATGTCTCCCAGTAGAAGCTCCATCCAAAGGTATGTGGCTAGCTGAAATGGCAGCCACATATACCTTTAGTATAGCCGATGTCCAACCCGGTGAAAAGCGTTCTTGAAGGAACTCTAGCACTGAACCAACAGGACAGTTGACTGGGTTCAGGTGGCGCTGCTCACACCAAGATACAAAGAATCTCCATTTTAGGGAATACAGCTTCCTTGCTGTAGGGGCTCTATCATTGACATTGATCAGCGAACACAAACACAAGCTCAACCGAACCTGCTTGACGCACGAAAACGTAACACGTGAGAATGAACCTCGCTCAAGTGTGGTGCGTAACACACAAAAATGAACCTGACTGGTTTTAATGAAGATTAAATATGCTGGATAAACACAGAAAAATTAACCTCATTGGTTCTCAAACATCAAGTGAACATGCTTGAGCTTCTGTTTACCACAACGGATGTGTGAGTTAATAATTGTTAATGTGTGAATACAAGATTTATCATATAAAGCGATTGAGTCTTCAGAAAATTTGGACTAAACTGTTCAATTGATATCGATAAGTCTTACAATCTCTTTATTAACTTTTTGAAGCGTCAAAGTGGTACAGTAGTTGCGTAGCTGTCGATGGAGGGACCGAGAGCTCTCGGATTTAATCAAAATGACCTTCATTTGTGTTCTGAAGATGAAAAAAGTCTCACGGGTTTGGAACGACGTGAGGGTGAGTATTTAATGACAGAATTTTTGGTTGAACTATCCCTTTAAAATCAAGCCATCAGTTCTACCTACCTTAGAGTGTTGCGTCCGCGAGTAGGACAGAGTGTCTTTACTGAGCGTGACATAGTACTTCTTAAAGGGTGATGTCATGGGCATACACTTGTCCTTGGTCCTGTGGAGTAAGAGGAAGCCTTCTTTCTCCATAGTGCCACACTGTAAGCTCATTCGTGTCTGAAGCTCAAGATCTGATTTAAATATAAAGCAAAGAGAAAGACAAGTGAATAAAATTAGGGTCTTGACTGTCTGCTCCATCTCGACTCTTAGGGGTCTGTTCATTTTTGGATGAATTACACGATTAAACCTGCTGCTTCAACAAGAATATTAAAAAAGATGAAGAAAAAAAAAACGGAGATTAATTATCTAAAGATTGATCAGATATGACAGGTATGACTGAGTCTCCAGCCATGCATGGGGGTCCACTCAATTTTTCATCTAATGACTAATTTAGAGCAGCTCACCCTCTGACTCGTGGCAGTTGACCAGTTTTGTGATGAAGTCTTTGAGCTGGGTGATGCCTTGCTGTATGGCTGGCTGCAAACAGACCATCCATGGCTCTTTAGAGCAATATGCGAGAGTGTCCATATTCCCAATAGTCTGCACAGCCTGAGGAAACACACGAGGAAGTCACAATGACGAATTATGTTAACCATAATTAGGTCTATGAATCTATGCAGGTCACAATCCATGACTATACTGTGACCTAAATAGTTAATGTTATTGTGACAGTGAGTGCAAAACCTTATTTTCAATTAACTGAAATGATCTGAGCTTGATTTGTATTACGTTAAAGATGTTAATGATACTCTTTTCAGCTAATATATTACTAGTAGGGCTGTGCAAAAGTTAATTGCGATTAATCGCATCCAAAATAAAAGTCTGTGTTTACATAATATATTTGTGTGTGCTGTATACAATTAATTTGTATATATAAATACCTATGCATGCATGTATATATTTAAGAATTATTTGCACTGAAATTCTGTATATATTTATAAATACATAATCTATATTATATAAATATTTTATATATGAATAACACATTTTCTTAAATATATGCATGCATGTGTGTGTATTTATATATACAAAATAATTATATAAAGCACACACAAATATATTATGTAAACACAGACTTTTATTTTGGATGCGATTAATCGCAATTAATTTTTGCACAGCCCTAGTTACTAGTATTCACAACAATGGTTTCCTTGAAAACTGGTCATACTTTGGCAAGTAGCAGGAGTGTACGGCTCGTACGGGCATCAGCATGTTTCTCACGCAGGTGGAATAATTTTGGAGACATGATGGCAGGTGAGATGAACCGCAGACACAGGAAGCTGGTCACAGCAATGAACTTCACCTTCTGAGGAAAAATATACAACCAGGTGATTAAAAAAAAAAACTATGATCTAAATGTTTTACCTTTATAATTGCATTTTTTCAAACCTTATTAAATGATTATGTGATCATTTGTCAAATTGTTAAATTTAAGACACTAGGGACTAGGGCTGTTACCAATCAAATGAAACCAGTATCCTACTAAATCCATCTTTGAATGCATAAATGCATTATCCTTCAATTACAATTTCATAAATGTTACGAGAATAATGTTTTAAATTAGGGCTGTGCAAAGATTAATTGCGATTAATCGCATCCAAAATAAAAGTTTTTGTTTACATAATATATGTGTGTGCTGTGTATAATTATTTTGTATATTTAAATACATATGCATGCATCATGCATGTATATATAAGTATTATTTGCACATAAATAATGTATATATAATCTATATTATATATAAATATTTTATATATGAATAACACATTTTCTTAAATATATACAAAATAATTATACACAGCACACACAAATATATTATGTAAACACACACTTTTATTTTGGATGTGATTAATCACAATTAATCTTTGCATAGCCCTATTTTAAATATAAAATTTTTAAAAAATTATTATTTAATTTTAAATATGAAACTAAAACCATCAGTAGATCGCTGTCTTAATGAGTGAGTCATTAGCGGTGTCTCATTTTGAAGGCTGCGTCCCATTTGTTGGTCGCATACATCATCAAGGATGTCTCATTTCCGAAAAGTAGCCATTATAAAATTGACTGTTATTCCTTGTAAAGTGTACATTTTTTTATGACTTTGGAATATACTTTACTAAAATGAGGCAGCCTCTATGACTTATGCGGCCAACAAATGCGACCTCCGGAGGACAAAGCCTTTGAAATGAGACACAGCAGTTGAATATTTGTTCAAATTGGCTGATTCATTCAGGAATGAAGCAAGTGCCTGTCTTTATGAGTGAGTCAGTGAATTATCCACTCAACCGATTTTTTTTTAAATTGGCTCATTTACTCAGGAATGAAGCAAGTGACTGTCTTTATGAGTGAGTCAGTTAATTATTCACTCAATCGATTTGTTCAAATTGGCTGATTCATTCAAGGGTTAGTTCACCCAAAAATGAAAATTCTGTCAGTATTTACTCACCCTCATGTTGTTCCAAACCTCTGTGTGTTTATTTGTTCTGCTGAACACAAAGGAAGATATTTGGAAAAATGTTTTAATCAAACAGATCTCATTCCCCATTGACTACCATAGTATGTATTTTTTTCCTACTATGGTAGTCAATGGGGAATGAGATCTGTTTGAGATCTGTTTGTGTTCAGCAGAACAAATAAACACATAGAGGTTTGGAACAACTTGAGGGTGAGTAAATAATGACAGAATTTTCATTTTTGGGTGACCTAACCCTTTCAGGAATGAAGCAAGTGCCTGTCTTTATGAGTGAGTCGCTGAATTATTCACTTAACTGATGCGGATTCATTCAGCACTGCTGTTTGTTGCTAAATTCTCTTATTTCCAAAACTGTATGCCTTTTTTTGTATGTGGAATGGAAAAGCCGATATTTTAGACGATTACTCTTTTGAATACAAGTAAAAGGGGTCTAAAACAAAACCGGACACCGCTGACTGTTTATTGTATGGATACAAAACAGAGACATTTGTTTAAAAAAAAAAACCCCAGCTTTTTTTGTTCTGCAGATGCAAGAAAGTCATTCAGTCACACAGGTCTGGAATGACATAAGGGTGAGCAAATGATGACATTATTTATATGTATCAGTGAACAATCCCTTTAATGTCTATTTTTTGTGATATTCGAAAGTTTGAACCTATCCTTTCTGTCCTTGTAAGCTATGGATTTTATTTTTGGACACTTTTATTTTTACCAGGCAAAAATGTGATGGTATAACAGATGAAAACTGGACAAAACTACATTTGTAGTTAACTGTTGGGACACTAGGACACACCTTATGAATCCAGAATGTCCCGGTTGACCCTTATATAATGGTATATAACCCCTAAATAATGTTTATGGAAAATGAATATCACTGACCCGGTACTCTGGGTCAGGGAAGCGTCTCTGCACTCTGAGGTAGAGTTGATGGAAAGCCTGGCAGATGAGCAGCGGGCAGTAGGAGGCCGACTGCAGGATGGAGGTGAGCAGCTCGGACAGGTACGACTGCAGGAGGCTGGAGCTCTGCTGAATAATATCAGACTCAGTCTGCTGACGGTGCAAACCTGCACACCTGTAATACCAGAAGACCCAGAAACAAATTCTAAGAAATTGGACTTTTTGAAGCATCAAAATGTCAAATATAACCATTAGTCACAGTTGTCTTACCCTGCCTCTTTCAGTTCTACTTTACTGGGGTCCAGTTCCACATATTTCTTTTCTTCAAATATTCGGTTTATTATGGGGCCCAGAAGCCTGTGCAGATACTGCATCCCAGCCACCTGCAGTGAGAAAAATGAAGACAATATTGCACATAATCAAATCATGAAAGCTGGAATAAAATATAATAAAACATAATAAAGTTAAATTGAACAATAAACCCAAATTAACCCTATTTTATTTCTCAATGCATGTTCCTGGTCTTGAATATTTATTCATCAATATGTTTATGTGTGTCTTTGCAATCTTTTCTCTAAATGTAAGATGGTCCCTTTCTGTCTATGTGGACAGTTCTTGGCCAGAATAAATAATGTGGACCAAACATTATGCTGCAAGTCAAAAGTCTGGCTTTCATATTCACTTTAAATTAGTTAAAAGATTTCTGAACACATGCAACACAAATTAGGGTGACCAGACTTCCTTGTTTTCCGGGAACAGTCTCGGTTTTTGCCATATAACAGGGGTCTGTTATGCACACAACTCTAAATGTTCACAAATGCAGTAATTTCCACATACACATCTTAACTACAAGAGTGATAGTACTCCCTAATATGAATAATAATAAAAAAAAAAAACTAAATTACAATTGCATCAATTACATTTGTAGAAAGCCCAAACTTTATGCACAAAATGAACTTAAAATTCAAAATAATGAGCCTAATTTGGGATACACAACCATATATATTTTTTTAAAGTTTAAAAAAGTTGTATTTACAGTATATTCACTGAACTATATACTATACAAAGTAAAAATATTAAATACTATTAGAAAACTACAGTGGTGTGAATAAGTGTTTGCCCCCATGCTAAAGTTGCCTAAAAAGAGGAATAAAAAAATCATCTTTTGGATATTGATCTTAATGCCTTAATTAGAAAAATGAGGAAAACTCCAACCTTTAAGGACACAAATTTTCTTTGTGAATGAATAATGTATCATAAATTAATAAATGTTTTTCCTTAAAATACAGGGTGCATAAGTCATTGGCCCTCTATGTTAAATTCCCATAGAGTCAGGCAGATTTTTTTTTTTGAAAAGCCAGTTATTTCATGTATCCAGGATAATATGCATCCTGATATGATCCCTTGGCCTTTTAAATTAAAATATCCCCACATCATCACACACCTTCCACCACACCTAGAGATTGGCATGGTTTTACTTCAGTTAGCCTAATAGCTGGTTTGATTTGCATTGAAAGATGATCTTTTGGAAAGTACCCAATGCCAATCTCTAGGTGTGGTGAATGGTGTGTGATGATGTGGGGATATTTTAATTCCAAAGGCCAAGAGAACTTTATCAGGATGCATATTATCCTGGATCCATGAAATAACTGGCTTTTAAAAATAAAAATCTGCCTGACTCTATGGGAATTTAACATAGGGGTGCCGTGACTTATGCACCCTGTATTTTAAGGAAAAACATTTATTTATTTATGATACATTATTCATTCACATCTTTCCTCTTCTTCACATCTTTCCTTTCAACATTATTCCTCTTTTTAGGCAACTTTAGCATGCGGGCAAACACTTATTCACACCACTGTATATAGTACAGTATATTAAATACTATTAGAAAAAGTTTTATTTGTCATATCTTCTCATATTTATTTTGTTTTACTTTTTTTTTTTTTACAATTTTTTTATAATAAAATACTGTTTTGCAATGGTTTCTATTTACTGTTTTTAACAGTGTGATTTTGGTAAATTTAATTGTATTAAAACCAGTTAGGATTATTATGTCCCAAAAACATCTTAATAGTTCTTAATTATAATAATAGTGTTCTGCATGTGTTTGTTCCTCTGTTTTTTGTTGGCTCTAATCCTTCTATGGTGGTTTGTTAGGTTTGCTTAGTTCTGTTTTCGTAGTTTACTAGTTCTCATGCTTTGTATATTTCAGTCATTATTACTGTATTATTAGTAAAACTCTCCCTAGAGTTGTAACGGTTTGCTGGTGTGGCTGTAGTAATGCGCACGTCTATAGAAAAATAACAGGAAAAACTCTTGATTACAATATAACTCGCAAACCCAGGAGAGCTTGGGAATCATGAAAGAAAACAACCACATAACTGAGAGGAACTAAGGACTTAAATGCACAGAACTAACAACAGCAGTGTGGAAACTAATGATAAGGAAACAAACTAGTAGAACAAATTCAGCCAAAGTGTAACAGAAACCAAAACAGAACAAAATGAACCAAACATACTCCGGACAAATTCTCCCTCTTTGTTTGTTTGTTTTTTTGTGAGATTTCAATTATATTTTGACCACTGAACTAGGAAATGTCCCAAGTTTCCATTTCAGAAATCTGGTCACCCTAACACATGTATATTAATAAGTATATTTACCTTCAAAAATGATTCCATAGACTTGGATGCTAATGAGTTACTGCGGAAGAGTGTGTTGGGTTCAGCTGGAAGACAACAACAACAACATCATTCCATCAATTGGCATCACAGTGCACATCCGATGTAGAAAGGTTTTTGCTAACACGGGTGTTACCAAAGCACACACATATGTGTATATGTTTCATATCTGCTTACTAGTCTTATCCAGCTCCAGTTTGAACAGAACATCCAAGAACTCCTTGACAAGCCCTTGACCCAAAAACAGCTTCACCAGATTATTAGCCACTTCCTGTCTGCTCTCAGCTGTAGTGGTCTCGTCAATCAGCATGATGAAATCAGGCCAGTTTCCCTACAATTAACACAGTCATTTCAGTCAAATGAGGTTATGCATAAAATAGCTTTAAATATATAAACCACTGAGAGCTATAACAATAACCCATTTATCACAGTGAACATGCTTTGGTGTTTGTTTTCATTTGCAACATCTTTCTTTTTATACCCAAAATTAGGAATGCACGATATATATCGGCCAGCATATCGGTATCGGCCGATATATGTTCATTTTTAATGTTATCGTTATCGGCCTGGTAAGAAAATGTGGCCGATGTATTGAAACCGATAAATAATGTATTATTCCCTTCAGCTGAGACACTTGTTGAGAACTGTTTATGTTTTTGAATTTCTTGAAATATGATTGAAATCTCTTCAAAAAATGAAAATCTGGTTCGGGACAACATGTGCAACGCAAATCTGTCATATCGGCAATACAACACTATAATGAGAACATCATTATAATTGTGCGCTTGGGACGTGGATTTAATTGTGAGACTTTTGTTTTTGTAATCAGGCTCTCAAAATGAGATAAAAATTTGGATTTAAGTTTATCGGCCGATATATCGGTTATCGGCTTTCAAATATAAAGAATTATCGGTTATCGGTATCGGCCAAAATTTTCATATCGGTGCATCCCTACCCAAAATATATTGAAAAAGAGAACATTTTACAGAATATTATCATACTGGTTTGAAACAACACACTGTAAGGATGAGTAAATGATGTGAGAATTTTTTTTTAGGTGACCTGTCTCTTTAACATTTGCAGGCACGAGTAGAGTATCCATCACATGCATACAAATGAGATCAGATAACAACGAGTGCTGCATTTTGCAATCCATACACCGAATGATGTCTTGTTATCTTGTTATGAGGAATATGCCATGTGAATTCGAGAGATAATGCACAGGCATATTCCCTGAGATAAGGCTCAGTCCAAATGGCATCAGACTCACGTTGAGCTGAGAGCCGACCGACTGGCTGAGTAGCTCTGTGAGTGGCTTGTAATGGCTGGATGGCAACACAACCTCGTCTCGAAGCCGTAGCTGAAGCCGCAGAGAACCCAGAGTTCCTCTAGGAAAGAAGAAGAGAAACGCACTTACTGACATACTGTACAGCTCCTCTTTTTTCCAATTGTGATTTTACCCATAAAATGCCCATAGTTTTACATAAGAAAACATTACTCATGAGGAAGAAAACACAGTGAAAATTTTCCAGGAAGTAAAGCACAGCATGGGAGACAAACAATATTAGGCCGAATGACTCCATTAAGGACCCTGTTCTGTTCAGCGATACGTAAAAAGACAAACAGTAAATGTTATTACTGTAAATGTGGGTGGCTGTGTTTTATAACTCTGTCATGATGGAACAGAAAATGAGGACACCTTGGCAACCCAACTGAAAAACGCAATATTGAGGCAAGCATTGAGAGACAACTTGGCTTCAGAAATGAATGAAGTAAAAATGGCTCACGGCTACGGCTGTACAAACTCTATACAAGCTCTGCTTGCAAACCCTGAACACGTAGGGAGCATCCGAATGGTCTTAAAAACTCATAAATGACTCATTTGAAGCACTCTATAAGCAGAATAACTACACAAATAAAACAATCCACAGTTTTATCTAGAAGCAATTCATCTGATTTCAATATAGACTCTAACTGTATGATGATTAGGTAATGGTAAAATACTCAATTTTACATATTACATACTAATATTATGTAGCAGTTTATTAATCAGTTTAATTAATGCATTAATATTAAAGGGATAGTTAACTTTGAAATTATTTTTTGGTATGTTTTAGCTTACCTCAAGGGCACCCATGATGTAGGTGTCTTTGTTTCCGTAATAGTTTCAATTTTGATATTTTTAGGTCAAACCGTTCTTGTCTGTCAGTCATATAATGGAGGTCTATGGTCACCACCTCAAAGAGCACGCGCAGAGAAGTTCAAATTAAACAAGATTTAATGACTCTTAAATGTACGTACTAGGGCTGGGACTCGATTAAAAAAAATAATCTAATTAATTAGAGGCTTTGTAATTAATTAATCGAAATTAATCGCATTTAAATTGCATAAATATTTGAACTGAGAACAGTGAGAAGATTTTTTTTCACATGGATTTTTAGTATACCATTGAATAATGACTTAATACATAAGCTTAAGAAACAAAATATTGTTTATTTTTGTTCAACCAAGTCCAGCAGACCCTTTTACAGTTGGTAAACATGGTGATGTTTTTTTGTGGGTGGAGCTTAGGTGGAGGCAGAAAGATCCATCTGGCCGCTTCACTAAAGCTAGTTAGTAAGGATTGTTAGCTTGTTTTTTAACAATGACTGGAGGAAATCCGATTTTATCTTAATGTGTTAGGTGACTCAGTGTCCAGGATCGCGACTGTTATTTCCAAAAGTTATTTTTAACGGACGGAACCAGATTGGCAGACCTGTAGCCGCCTACACGCTCACTCAATGCATGGATGATCTGACAGGATTAATGTTACGTTACCTCGGGTGAGTGGCCTGACTTCTACACCTACCTTATAGAGAAACCAATCGTAAATAGAAACTGAGGGCATATAAATCTTTAGATGCCTATATGGTCCTGTACAAGACTTGTGTGTACGATCCACAGTTCTGCCGAGCCAGCGCCGAGACGACGACAATGTAAAGAGTGACATTACAGTGCGATTTTAACGATGTGAATATTTTCCAGAAATAAAAGTTCCAGATACAGCATATTCATTTTTCATCAATTCTTGCATCAAACAACACAACAAGATGACATTTAATAATAGTAACAATTATTTAAGCTCCTTATTATGTAGCCGAATCTGTGCTGGTTTGTATTGGCCGCCTCCAGTTTTCACTTTGTTTTGCCTCCAGCTAGCGCCGTGACGTAACTGTGACGTCAGCGCAAAAGGGGTCTATATCTTTTGCGTTGAGGCGAAACTTGAGGGTCGATGTGATATGCGAATTCCTTGTTGCATAGCTTGCACACAACCATGCTCTTAATGACGCTTCCATCCGTTCGTTTTTATAACAAAATTTCCCATCCACGGGACCAACCAAAGCGGTCTCGTCAGCTTCTTCGTTCATGTTCACTGTGGTTTGTTGTTTAGTTGTCTGAAGCATAGACTGTAAAAAAAGTCATGAACTCTAGTTGGTGCTCCAGTATAATCGGTCCGCCGAAACTAATCCAGTGAGAAATGTTCCGCGGTGCAAAAATAAGTGCGAATAAAATGCATTAATTTTTTGGTGTAATTAATTAATCTTAATTAATTTAACGCGTTAAAGTCCCGGCTCTAGTAAGTACACATTGATGGCCTAAGACACGAAATGAGCGGTTTGTGTGAAAAAACAAACAGTATTTATTAGGGATGCAACGGTACACGGTAAAATCCCGGACCGTTCGGTCAGCCCTGCACGGGACAATCTAACCTCGTGTCCCGCGGGACTTCGGTTCTGCCATAGAGTTCGTGCTGATCCTTTAACCGTATTTTCCGCACTATAAAAGGCGCACTTAAAAGCCTTTAATCTTCTCAAAAAACAACAGTGTGCCTTATATTAGATCCATATCATATATGGATTAAATTCGCCCGCGAACTCGCGCTCGTGTCCAGCTTATGCCCGCTTTGTTTGTCACACGGCCAGTTCAACCTCGTATAAATCAGGTTATGTGTGTGTCGCTCACGAGCGCTCACTCTAACAGACACACGAACAGACCGGCGCTGCTCGCGCGTCATAGATGTTCATAAAGCGCTCCCCGTTCACACGGGTCGTCTCATTCAAAACAGCCAACTGTTGTTAGTGAGCCGCCGCACATTGAATAATATGAGTCAGGCTGCGAATGTAAGTTACGTGCCCGCCCCAGCGCGCTCACGCTTACTAAATAAACGCCTCACCTCCGGCTCCACGTAGCCTACTCTCTACATTCCCAGCACATAGTGGATGCATAACGCAAACCCAGTCAAATGTTTGACTGCAGTATATTTTTGCACAAGAATCTCTCAAAAGTGGATTAGTAACATTGCACTTTGTATCCTGAATGCAGTATTTTTTTATTATTATATTATTTTGCTCTGCTCTTTTTATTCAAACCACAAGCTAATTTTTGTTAAAGGTAAAAGTGCACTTTTTCTTTCACATTGATCACTTCATTTACCAGTTATCAAGGTTTGGAATTGGGATCCACTTGAATATTTTAAAGTGTGCTCGTTTACATTTTGTATATTATAAGTGGTAGTTGAAGAGGTTGTATTGCTTAGTGTTGTTCAGTACAGACTAGAGTGTTAATTTATTCCATACACATTGATGTTCTTCCTACTGTGACATTCTGTTTATGCTCATAAGAAAAATAAAACATATTTTTGGGATGAAATAGCAGTCTCTTTCTGCACAAAACATGTACCGAAACCGAACCGAGACCGTGGCCCAAAAACCGAGGTACGGACCGTACCGTGGGCTATCTGTACCGTTGCACCCCTAGTATTTATATAGTTTTTACCACTTGTAACAACAGCCACGTCCAACTGATCTGAGGGCGTGAGTGCTTCGGTCTGCGCAAGCGCCGGAAAGCACCGGAAGTGATAAAAACGATACAAATACTGTTCGTTTTCTCACACAAACCGCTCGTTTCGTGTCTTGGGCCATCAATGTGTACTTACTTTTTTTTGGTACAATTTCCCTTTAAGTTTATGACCATTTATGACCAACAGACAACATGAAGGTCCTCAATGATGGATTTTTTTTAACTTTCAAAACTGTTTTGTGGAGTTTTTGGATTTTTAGTAAGATATCTCATCAGCTGGAATAAACAATCAGAAAGTTGTTAAACTAGAGTACAATCAATTGAACACACTACACTTCTATTTCTAACAGCCTCATTTTTATTCCTGCCAATTTAAATATGGCACTACCTTGTTTAAGAATCATCTTAGAATTAAACAAGCCATTTTTTGCAAAAATTTCTGTTCACTGGGATCCTTTAGGAGGATCTGAAGAACTGTGGAACTTTTTATTTTCGAAAAATATAGAAAAATAGATTTGTCATGATGTGACTTGGAGATGATATTAGCATTAATTTTACGTAACTTATACATTCAGTCACTCCATACGCCACATGCTCTCTCACTGTAAAGATGGGAAATACTCGAGGGAAGGTGAGAATTGGAAGAGAGTATGTGTGAGTGTTTGTGTGTGGCGAGCGCCAACATAACAGCCAGTCACTGAACAGCAGGCAACAGATGGTGGGCCGTCAAAAATCCAATCAGGAAGAAGACGGTGAGGGAGTGAAAAGAGGAGAAAGAGAAAATAAACAAAAACAACAACAGCTTGATTTGTTCACTGAGATGAGAGTGGATCACCCACGAGATTATAGGAGCTTAATGGAAAACTTTTCATCAGGATGACATCAGAATGAATAAAAAACATTAAAATTCGTACGCAAAAATCACTAATTACTTCTGGGGTATGCTCACGAAATATAAAAATAAGTTCATAACAATATCCCAGATGATGCAAATATATATAGGGACATGATTAGTCAGAGATGATTATCAAACAGTGCTTTTTTATTGGATGAGGCCAAAAACCTAGAGTCAAATAATCCTTTGTTCAGGATTGGCCGTGACATTTTAATTCCCATCCTGTTTTTTTTTTTTTTTTTAAATCTGGTCAGAGTAGAAAAAAAAGCAAAAACTGTTTAGAAGGAACAGATGGTTGTGCATCAGCATATTTAAGGCAGGCGAAATCTGCCAATTTTGAAAATAAAATTGCGATAACCTATTATATCATAACGTTTAGAATATTTACATTATTTACATAATGTAAAACAGTGATACTATTTCACAATATTACGGTTTTATTGTGTTTTTGATCAAATACATGCAACCTAGGTAAGAAAGCATAAGAAAACAAACAAACTTAAAAAATCTTACCAAACCCAAACTTTTGAATGGCAGTGTAGATTTGGGTTCATTTGTCAGATTAGATTCACAATGCATAGACACATTTTTACCATCCTGTATACCACTGTAAAGCATTTTGATAAAAGACTTTTACAAAATTAACCATGTTCTGTTTGAGGTCTTAGAGAGCCCAAGGTCCTTTGAATAGCCCAAACAAATTGAAGTATTATATTAAAACTCAAAAAATTTTCCCAATCATTAATAAATTAAATTTTAAACTATAATTTGAAGTTATAGTTCTTATTAAGTCAAATTAATCAAAATGAATGTACATGGAATGTGTTACATTACTTTTGGTTAAGTGGCTTAATAATATCTGTTTAGATTAGGTAAAAGGATTAAATAACAAATTTCAAGCGTATGCAGAGAAAAAAAGAAGTTAAAGTGATACAGTAGTCCACTCACAAATGAAAATGTCATAATTTACTCACACTCATGTTGTTCCAATTGTGTATGACTTTCTTTCTGCTTTGTAACATAAAGGAGATATTTAAAAGAATGTTGGTTTTGACTTCTACTGGTCAAAAAAATATAATTCAAGTAAATGGTAACCAAACATCTTTGGTTACCAACATTCTTCAAAATGGTTTTTTTTTATGTTATGTTCCAAGGAAGAAAAAAAAAAGTCAAACAGGTTTGGAACGACAATGAGGGCGAGTACATGATGAATTATCATTTTTTTAGGTAAACCAATCCTATAATTTTAGAATAAGTACTGTTATTTTTACACTTAAAATCCCTGCATGGGACTCCCAAAATTTTGCTGATAATTTACTTACCCCCATGTCATCCAAGATGTCCATGTCTTTCTTTCTTCAGTCGAAAAGAAATGAAGGTTTTTGATGAAAACATTCCAGGATTTTGCTCCATATAATGGACTTCAATGGGAACCAAACGGTTCAAGGTCCAAAAACTGCAAACTGTTCAAAGGGCTTTAAATAATTTCAAATGATGAATAAGGGCCTTATCAAGCGAAGCGATCGCTCATTTAAAAAAAACAACAACAAAGTTTAAGTTTTATAAGCTCAAATGGTCGCCTTGCTCTGTTCTGTGATGCATGAGACTCCTATTCGAACTCTTTTATCAAAATTAACGAATCTTTTTTCATGTCATTTGGTTCATTCAATGAACGAAATGAACAAGATGACTCTGGAAATGATTTGTTCATTTCATTTTGTCATTTTTTTTTTTTTAATGAGACCCTTCATAAGACCCTTATTCATCGTCTGGAATCGTTTAAAGCCCTTTGAACAGTTTGCACTGAAACTGTCTTTTGGACCTTGAACCGTTTGGTTCCCATTGAAGTCCATTATATGGAGAAAAATGCTGGAATGTTTTCATCAAAAACCTTAATTTCTTTTCGACTGAAGAAAGAATGACATGGACATCTTGGATGACATGGGGGTGAGTAAATTATCAGCAAAAGTTTTTTTTTAAAGTCAACTACTCCTTTAAGGACAATGAAGTCAATCTGTGACCCCAAACAAGTCCATCTCGGCAGTACATGAGGGTTAATCCTGAAATCATGCATAGTCAGTCCATGTATGCCCTAAATACAATTTAATCGTACCTTTAAGAAGAAACGATTATGGAACGGTCCAACAATTTTTAGCAATATTAAAAAAAAAGACTGTACTTATGACGCTCAAATGCTGAAAACGTTTTTCTTTATCTGCCTCCAACATTTACACAATATTACACCTTGTCTACATAACACTGTGTGCTCAAGGTGCTCAAGACATCTGTGTATGTGGAGCTTGAACTACATTTGCACAGTAAGTTCAATCAAGTCAAGCATATAAATAAATGAACGACTGTACGAATGTCAGTGACTCCTTTGCTCATGTGGACACACTGACACGGCGTGTACCCGAAAACACCTCCTGCCTTAATCTACCTACAACCTCGCACAAGCTCTCAGATGACGCATAGCTTTTGTCATCACCCAACCGAATCCCCCGTACTGGAGTTTTTACATAAGCCTTTCCATCCCACTCCTCCTGCCAGCTTGAGATATAATCCCCACTGTCAATCCACGTGGCCAAATGATCTCTTATGGGTGGAGAGGAGCACCGGGTGGAGGGGGAGACGGAGCGAATGAACAGAAAAAAATCCCAGGATTTAGGCAGGGAAAGGATTAGTACTTCCTGTCAACACATGGACCAGAACACACAAGCGTAACGCCGTGAGATCCTGAGGGAAGAGTGCGTAACAATCCTCAGACTAATGTTAGCTCAGACTAATTCCCAGGAACAGACTAGGGAAAGTTGCACTTTTTCCCTTGTATTTTATTGTCCTTGTTTCATTTGCTTAACGTTCTCTTCCACGGGCAACCGTTAAAGGTGAAAACTTGTTGCTGTGGCAACCAAACTTTAAGGTTTTACTTAGGCGATGTACATATTTGCCACAATTCAAAATACACTCACTCATATTCACTGTGTTTAGATTTGTCAGGCCCTAGGCGAAACCAGCCCTCCTCTTGCTGGGCAGACTGAAGCTTGTTGATGTTGAACAGGACCTGAAGGAAAACAGAGGCCGCATATATCAATCGCCATGACAATTAGCTGTCAAAGCAACTGAAGCTAAACACAGCAATTGGAACATTTATTATTGGGTGACAAAGGAAATGTCACAGTGTCAAACAGGCACAGACGCAATGTTATTAAACAGTGACTATGCTTGAATTATTGTGTTAACTTTGGGATATGCTGAATTGACATGTTAAAAAATGAAATAAATAAATACATACACATACTGTATAAATCACTGCAGTTTCCACCTGAAATTCCACTATAGGCAGTAAAACAGCAAGTGCTTTTAGGTCTTTTCATACAAAATTATGATTACGGGGAAGATTATCAATTAATAAAGACGTATTTTCATTTCCTTGCACAATATTATATTATGACAGGCTCAAAACACATTTTACCACACTGTATGATTTGTAAGCTAATACATTTTGACGTTTGCACAACATAACCAGCTCCATATGTTTGGTTCCCTTTCAAATGGGAACTCTCACTCTCATGGTATTTGGCCCTTGTATATGAAATAACTATATATGAATATAACCTGCTGTGCGCTTATAGGTCGTAAACCTCTTTTTTATTGCAATGTAAAAATATCAAGTTATCTTGTCATTTAAAGGGACAGTTCACCCCAAAAATTAAATAATCCATGATTTACTCACCCTTAAGTCAACATACCATAGGTGTATATGAAATTGTTTGTCTAAGAAAAATATTCAAAGTAGATTTCTAGCTTGCGGCCAAACGCAATCTACTTGAAGTTGCGTAGTGTGTCATGGTGTAGTGTAAATATCAGCAGTATGTCCCATTACTCGCATAAGTTGTGCTTTAGACTTAAGTGGATATCCATATGTTAGTTTGGCCGGAGGCTTAGTTATTTTACTTTATTAAGTTTTAAATGCGAATATTTTTCTTAGACGAACGCATCGCTTCACTTCAGAAGGCCGTGGAGCACTTTTATGATAGATAGATGCACATGTCAAAGAACCAGGACATTTTTTAATATAACTCCGATTGTATTCATCTGAAAAAACAATGGGCTCTATCTTGCACCCGACGCGAATGGCTTTGTATGCTGACGCATGTCTCATTCCTATTTTGCACCCGCACAAAGCGGGCTTTTTTATGGAAGCTTGTTTCCGCCACAGAATAAAAAAAGAAATAAATAATTGTGACTTTTTATCTCACAATTGCGAGATATGAAGTCAGAATTGAGAGAAATTAAGTCGCAATTGCGAGATAAAAAGTCAGAATTGCGAGATATAAAGTCAGAATTGCGAGATATAGTCAGAATTGCGTGATATAGTTGCAATTCTGAGAAAAAAAGACAGAAGTGTGACTTTTAATCTCACAATTCTGACATTTTTCTCACAATTACGAGTTTACATCTCGCAATTCTGACTAATTTATATGTTTATATGTCGAAATTCTGACATTTTTTCTCAGAATTGTGAGATATAAACTCGCAATTGCGAGTTATCAGGCCAATTCTAAGGGGAAAAAAAGACTAACTTTTACCCCCTCAGAACAGTTTAAATATCACAATTCTGACTTTATAACAAACAATTGCGACTTTATATCTAGAAACTCTGACTTTATATCTCGCAATTCTGACTTTATATCTTGCAATTCTGACTTTATATCTCGCAATTCTGACTATATCTTGCAATTCTGACTTTATATCTCGTAATTCTGACTTTATAACACACAATTGCGACTTTATATCACGCAATTCTGACTTTATATCTCGCAATTCTGACTTTATATCTCGCGATTCTGACTTTACATCTCGCAATTATGACTTTACATCTCGCAATTCTGAGAAATAAAGTCAGAATTGCGAGATATAAACTCGCAATTGTGAGAAAAAAAAGTCCGAATTGTGAGATAAAAAGTCGCAATTACCTTTTTTATTTTTCATTCTGTGGTGGAAACAAGCTTCCATACTTTTTTCCTCCAAAGACGCACGTCGGTAAACTAAGAATTGAACTTGAACTCCCCGGGCGGGTCGGCGCAAAAAAGGAGGCGTGTTTCGGCGCAATTCCCTAGTGCTATTTTGCAGTTCCAGAAAACAATTGCGCCACTGACCACAAAAAACCTGGTCTAAAGTCAGTGGCACTTTGCACATTGTTCATAATGCTATTTTAAGCACGAATGCTTGGCCATAATGTAGCGGGTGCACAACATCATGCAACATGCGCACCTTGTCACGATGCTGCGTGAGGCAAGTTCCAAAGAGTTCACAAAGGCTAGCAAGTCCAAATAACAGTAGATTTATTCCAGAAGACGAAGGGAGCACGCACACATCAGAGCAATACAAACAATACCGGACAACAGACAGAGCACAAGCAGGAACTAAATACACAGAGATAATTAACAAATGACTAACAGCTGTGATGAAGGTGATTGGTGTCCATGGTGACTGATCAGTGGCAGGAAACTCAGACAGGGAAACACAAATGAGGAGTGAAACTGTGACATAACGCCCCCTCTCGGTAGGCGCGACCTCGCGCCGAAACGGAAGAATGGAGGAGGTCTAGAAGGTGGGCAAGGCAATGCCGAGGGCACGGAGCGAGAAGATGGCCATGGGTAGGCAGAAGAAGCTGGAGGAGGTTCGGGCGGAGGACGGATGACAGGAAGGAGACAGAACTCAAGGTTCCAGGGTGGTGCAGATCGTGGAGCAAGCCAGTGAAGGACCTTTGGCAGATGGGTGATAGAAGGTGCCCAGGCTACAGCCAAGATGGTACCCCACGGCGGCGTCGATGGAGGGAGGAGCCATGGAGAAGCAATGAAGATCGCCATGGAGATGACAGGAGGCGACGACGACGAGGAAGAAACCCACCGTGAAGTCGATGAGCAGAGGTCGTGAAGAGATGCTGACGACCCAGGTGACCGCGACGGAGCCGCAGCGACGATCTCCTGAGAGCGAGGTGGGGATCCGGAGGTCTGAGGGCGAGCCGGAGCGACCGAGGGCGGAGGTGGAGCCTGAGGTAGGGCGGAGTAAGCCGTAGCAGAAGGGGTGGAGAACCAGAGAGCAGCGGATGGTTCGCAAGTCCGCAGCGGAGGTGAAGTGACGTCTGACCTCGGTGGAACCGACGTGCCGAGGGAGTCCGGCAAGACCGAATGGCCGATGGTCCACGATGAGGTCGAGGGTGGAAGGAGCATGGGTTCGGGAGCCAGGGCAACAGGTCGAAGCAGATCGGAGCGCACCGAAGCTTTAGACGGAGCTATGGGTTCATCTTGGGCAGGAGAAGATGGCTCCGGACAGGTCCGAGGTGGTACCCCGATACTGAGAGACAGAGGTGGTACCGAGGGACTGAAGGGTGACATAGATGACTGGGTGGTACAGATGGCTGGAGACTGGGGAAGAGACTGAAGTCCAATGCAAAAACCAAAAAAAAATATAGTGTTTGGGATGTTTTGGAGAGGTGGTGGGAGAGGGAGGTTGGGCGGGGCTAACATGACAGGCAGATGAATGATAGGATTGGGATTAACAGGTTTGGGTAACAGAACTGGGGCTAGACAAATCTCATCTCCAAAATCAAAAGGTGTTTTAGCCAGAGACGCACTCTCAGTAGCGGAGGGGTGGGCGGGGCTTACTTCCGAACCCTCGACGTCCACCAGTACTCCCTCAGCGACAGATGGTTCGGCCGGCTCACACACCTGGTCAGGCGCGCGTTGCTCGGGCTCCATGGCGATGTGATCCTCGGTCGCTCTCATGGGCGGGGGCTCATTCATCGCCGCGGTCTCCGTTGCGCTACCTGTGGTGGGCTCAGGTCGACAGTCCTCGCCGTCTGGGTGGTTCTGGCTGGGCACTGGCTGGGAAGTGGGGCTGGCGGCATCCTCCACGGTGAACGCAGATCCGCAGGATGCCAGCACCCACTCCACAAATGACATAAAGCTCCCTCGAGGAACCTCCTCGGATAACTGTGCACGTGTGGCAGCATTGAGTCCGACTTGCAAGAACGTGCACAGGCAGTCATCCGGGAAGGTGGTCTGATGGGCGAGATCCAAAAACACTTCTAAGTGTTCCTCGAGGGATCGTTCTCCCTGCTCAAGGCACATGAGCTTTACTGCCGGAAAGTCCATGGTGAATGCAGGGGTGAAAACGGAACAAAAACACTGAACACGAAAACGGGAAAACAAAAAGGAAAATACAAGCGCGTTCTTAGTGGGGTCCGGTATTCTGTCACGATGCTGCGTGAGGCAAGTTCCAAAGAGTTCACAAAGGCTAGCAAGTCCAAATAACAGTAGATTTATTCCAGAAGACGAAGGGAGCACGCACACATCAGAGCAATACAAACAATACCGGACAACAGACAGAGCACAAGCAGGAACTAAATACACAGAGATAATTAACAAATGACTAACAGCTGTGATGAAGGTGATTGGTGTCCATGGTGACTGATCAGTGGCAGGAAACTCAGACAGGGAAACACAAATGAGGAGTGAAACTGTGACACACCTGCTCTTAAAGAGTATGTTGGATGACGCTCTGATTGGTTTATTTCACGTTACGCCCAAACCACACCTATGAATAATGAAGCTATTTCAGACCAACCCCTTTTAAACTTGCGTCGAGTCATTTATCCCACCGGTAAAATAGCAACAGCGCCCAAGACCCGCCGCAAAGTTACTTGCGCTTCGCGCTTGATACTTGCGTTTCAGATCGTTAAAATAGGGCCCTATGTCATTTACACCTAGGATGACTTGAGGGTGTGTAAATCGTAGGCTAATTTTCATTTCCGGGTGAATTATCCCTTTAAGTTACTCATGATGAGATTACAGAGTTTTGAAGGTGAATATTATCAGTGAATAACAACTTAAAAGAGCTGTATGACAATTTAAACAACAAAAAAAGTGCTCCACGTTAAGTACATCAGATGAGTGTTGATATTTCTTGCAAAACTAATATTAAACACGATATGTCTTACTAATTAAATGCGTAATTTGTGTTTTATTCTAAACTAAGACAAAGGTCAGCTTCAGAGCATGAGGAAATACTCTAGGATTTGCTAATGTCTATTCTGTGCAGTCACCTTTCCAAGGAAGTCGTTTCTGCTGACCAGATCCCAGTCCCACACCTCCACACTCAAAAGGCTGTCAGCCAGCGCCTCGTCCAGCTCAAACTCAAAACTCTCGTTCCAGCGTGGGTAACAGGACTTCTTAACCACCTGGAGGAAGCAGGCTCATGGAAATCAGTAACAGACAGTCAGTTCTAAATCAGAAACTTACAGAGAAACACCCTTACCGCACTCTCATGGGTTTTGCCATTGTACCTCACTCTAACAAAAGGATCAGAGGCCCCGTTGCGATCCTTTTTTGCAAGATCTCTAAAAACAAAGCCGAAAGTGCATGAAGCTATTAGACACAAATCCAAATCTAGCTTATGAAGATACAATCTCTAAAGCCTTATTCCAACAGTCTGAGGCCCCGTCCACACTACTGCGTTTTCGTTTAAAAACGGAGAATTAAAACGAAAACGATCTCCGTCCACACTAGCGTTTTACCTGCGTATTAGAATTTATCTCCGTCCACACTAAAACGACTGAAAACGTGGATCACGTGACCATTCACCAACACTGGGCATGCGCGCGCCGGTGTAAACAGTGGTTGGCGAATCAGGGAAGGACACGTCATGACTGATGACACCCAATCATAGAGCCGAGCGTGAGCCTCTGCGTCATCGTTTGTAAACTCCTCCGTTTTGTCTCGTCCACACTAAAACGCCCTCCGGAGATTCAAAACGCAAAACGCAGCTGCAGCGTTTCCAAACTTCTCAGTTTTAAGTCTTCGTTTTTCCCGTTTTAGTGTGGACGGGAGGTGCAAACGTAGCAAAAGGTCTCCGTTTTTAAACGAAAACGCAGTAGTGTGGACGGGGCCTGATTCACTGAAATAAATGTTGTTTTCAATTCAAAATGTGTTGAACACATTGTCCCAGCATTAACTTCAAATTGTTAAGCCAGGTTTTTGTCAAGTAATTCTGAGGTATCTAGTTCTATATTTCACATCATTTATATTTTGTAGATCTAAAAAAACTTCTTTTGCTTTCCCCATGAAAAGAGACACCAGTGATTTTGCCAAGAGATCTCTCGAATTTATTTATAATATTTATAAGACATAGGAGGAAGAGAAACAGAGGTCTTCATTCTGCATCGTTACCATCTCTTCCTGCTTTTCGGACAAAAGGGACTTAAATACTACTGACCAAGAAAAAACTGCATCACCATAGTAACACATGCATTACCACAAGAACATGTGGTTCCAATTAACAATGGAATGTATATCCATTCCCAGTGGAAACTATACATTGCATAAACTTTCAGTCTCACTCCAACATACATTCACTCATACAGTTTAACTTATCCCAAAGTCTCCTAAAGTCTCTCTCTCTCCCACATCTTCAAAACATTATAATCACAAAATGCAAAGATTACAAATGATAATGTGTGTATACATGTAATAAAACAGATACATAATATGAATATTAATAAAAAATAATAATAGTATTAAAAACAACATTAAATGAAGACCCAAATGAATTTTGGTTGCGTTAACGATTATCGCAAGTGCATTCTTTCGCCAATGCGGATGGACTGATTTGTCTAAGAATACAACAAAAACTTTTTCTGTCATCATAACATGATGCACATTATGCATCTTGTCAGTAGTATTTTAAAAACAACAAGTAAATGAAATATATTAACACATTTTTTGTGTTATTTTGTGTATTGCTCTTTAATATATAGTTAAGATCAACTAATGGATTTCCTTATGCCGTCTGAAAAGTCATTAAAAAGTAAACAAGAATTTAGCAATATCTGAAAAAGCATAATAGGGGAATAATCAGCATAATAATCAGAACCAGAACTTTCATTTATTATTTTTTGTTATTTACGATTCTAATCCATGAATTGATCAAGTGCATTGATATAGACTACTAAGCTGCTCCTCACCTTGCCTCTAGGACTTGGCAGCACAGTTTCCGCGGGATATCTCCATCTCCCAGCACAGAGATCTGGAGGTGAATCTCCCCTTGCACCTCCTCATCAGGGTCAATCTCTGTTAAATTCATCCATCCATCAACACCTAAACAAAAAATGACAAGAAAATGAGAATTTATATATCATCCATTGTCGTTGAAATAAATCATTTAGTGTTGGAGGGTTATGGTGGGCTAAGTTGAAGAACAGGGGCTTGGTCTAGTGCACATTGGGAGAGAACAGGATTAAGAGCGGTATTATTATAGCTTCTGTGTTCCAGTATCCGCAAACACACACAGTTGGGATGAAAATTGAATAGATAATGTCCCTCTTCAGTAACTCTAGCTTTAAGAGGCTTACGGTAATAGAATTAATGGCCTTGCTGTATTTCTACAGAATAAGCTTATGGTAGACCAAGAGTATTTCCGGACATGTTGGATGTTCAATAATTGTGTTAAAATGTGAACAGACTGAGATTAAAGCTATTATTCAATGAAAATCTGCTCGGGTGTAGCTCTTAACACTCCATTCTGCTGTGTAGGAATCGGTCAGGTGACACTGACTGTAAGATTTCAGAGTTTTAAAGAAAGAAATGCTGGGTCCCATGCTTTAGTAACCTTCTGTATTTAGGAATTCGAGGGCTACTGTTAGACTGTTTTTAGTATTTTGCTGAAATCTTCACTCAAGGACCATTAAACCACTCTGATTTTGCAGTGGCTAAGTCTAAAAATGTAAAGATATTTTGGCTTCAGTGATGTGCACATAAAGCTTGTTTATTCCTGTGGCCTAGTAGGTCGTTTTTTCCTCCCGATTAGTATTCCAGCGTATCACTCGTCAAGGTCCATTTTCCTTTATTGCTCTGGTGAGTTGCCCAAAAATAAATTCAGTCCGCCAAGAACAACTATTCCATTTAGCTGAATGTTGATGCTTTCAATATATTTTGTGGAACTGAACGTGATTATAGCATCTGATTATAGCATCTGATCATTTTTTTGTTTGAAGTTCAGTGAAATTTGTATCTTAAATATACCATATACTGACTGATTAAAAACATGGATTTAAAGCAGACATCAAGTATTTCAGGAAAATGCTGTTTGTTGTTTCAAGATATTGCTCAAAAGAAATATGTTGAAAAGAAAATGGAATGCAAAATCACTATAATAAGCAGCAAATAGTCTGAGATGGCCCATTCTTCAGTTCAGTCATTCAACTTCTGAAATTAAATGACATGCATGCAGATGAATTTGCCCACAAACAAATGGCACAAAAGAAATCCATTTAGGAAACTGAACCAAAAGCTAAAGTGAACCAAAAAAAAAAACTAAACAGCTCAACATTTTCTAGATGCAATCTTTCTACAGATACAGTATTCATACAATAAGAAATGAAACACCCGTTAGAAAGCTTTGACTGACAGTCTCTTGACAGTTAAAGGTCTGCCTCATGAATATGTTCAAAAACAGTGCACCCGGCCTCCCTCCACACACACACACACGGCCAACCTTTAAAGAGTCAAGGTCTGTGCTTCAAACAGATGCAGAGCCACTAGCCAAAATTCTTTACAATAGAGTGCATTTTTCCTTCACCTGCACACACAAAATGTTTAGAAAGCAAAAACAAAAAGTAAATAATAATAACAAGATTTTTTAGATTTTCTTCATAAAATGAGTGCCCTGTGTAAACGTTGCTTCCAAGATGCTAAATTGTAATGGGTGGTTTGCCAGGTGTCACAAATGGCCAGTTGCAGTAACAGCAAATATGATTTGAGCGGGATCTATTTGCAGCAGTTATTTTATTAAAGGCAAACTGAATAAAACAAAAGCACGCAGAATATCAAAATACAAAGAGAACAAACAGTATAAACAATAAATAATGAAAAGAACAAGGGGCTATATACACTCACCTAAAGGATTATTAGGAACACCTGTTCAATTTCTCATTAATGCAATTTATCTAATCAACCAATCACATGGCAGTTGCTTCAATGCATTTAGGGGTGTGGTCCTGGTCAAGACAATCTCCTGAACTCCAAAGTGTATGTCAGAATGGGAAAGAAAGGTGATTTAGGCCATGTCCACACGGACACGGGTATTTTTATAACCGGAGTTTTTCCATCCTGCGTTTTTAAAAAAAACCTCCGTCCACACGAAAACGCAAAAACAAGCCATCAAGCGCTGTCAAGAGCATGCAACACCAGCAGGCAGCGATATAAACCTAACCGTAAAGCCACGTTAGCCAATCAGAAGCAGTCAGCGGTGCAAAAACTCCGGTTTCGCTGTCTACACGACAACACTGCAACCGACGTTTCAGAAAAATACTCACCCTGGCAGAGGTTTTCAAAAATGTTCGGTTTCAGTGTCCTGATACTGCGTTTCCGTGTGGACGAACGGCCGAACCGCGTAAAAAAAGTCACGGTTATAAAAATACCCGTGTCCGTGTGGACATGGCCTTAAGCAATTTTGAGCGTGGCATGGTTGTTGGTGCCAGACGGGCTGGTCTGAGTATTTCACAATCTGCTCAGTTACTGGGATTTTCACGCACAACCATTTCTAGGGTTTACAAAGAATGGTGTGAAAAGGCAAAAACATCCAGTATGCCGCAGTCCTGTGGGCGAAAATGCCTTGTTGATGCTAGAGGTCAGAGGGGATCCATCATGCCTTGTTACCACTGTGCAGGCTGGTGGTGGTGGTGTAATGGTGTAGGGGATGTTTTCTTGGCACACTTTAGGCCCCTTAGTGCAAATTGGGCATTGGCCTACCTGAGAATTGTTTCTGACCATGTCCATCCCTTTATGGCCACCATGTCCCCATCCTCTGATGGCTACTTCCAGCAGAATAATGCACCATGTCACAAAGCTCGAATCATTTCAAATTGGTTTCTTGAACATGACAATGAGTTCACTGTACTAAAATGGCCCCCACAGTCTCACATCTCAACCCAATAGAGCATCTTTGGGATGTGGTGGAACGAGAGCTTCGTGCCCTGGATGTGCATCCCACAAATCTCCATCAACTGCAAGATGCTATCCTATCAGTATGGGCCGACATTTCTAAATAATGCTTTCAGCACCTTGTTGAATCAATGCCACGTAGAATTAAAGCAGTTCTGAAGGTGAAAAGGGGTCAAACACAGTATTAGTATGGTGTTCCTAATAATCCTTTAGGTGAGTGTATATAAATGCAAACCAATCAAAGAAAAGAGGAACAGGAGAAACAATTTAATCAATCAATGAAAAACTCTGGAAAAAGACAAGGGAATCAAACAAGCATGCAAACCAGGAAAAACCAAAACTAAAACCCAGACAAGGAGAAGACAGGAGGAGGCTTTGGAGGAGGATGTCCTCCAAATTT